TTGTCTTTGGTTGAGATTACTGAGCAGTCGACTGAGTCGAGGGTTCCATTGGAAACATGCTGCACCATAAGCATCAAATTGTCATTGCAGGGAGCGTGTGGCTAGCCGATTTGCAGAGCCAGAGCACCGTGAGTGGCAGGTGGGCGGTGGACGGTCTCGATTTGGATTTGGCTGGTTATAGGGTTTCCTCGTTCTTTACTTCTTCGTGAGGATGAGTGTATGTATATCTGATTTCGACTCTGCCTATCTCTATCTCTATCTCTATCACTATCCTCTGATCATCTTGCTCTTTAATTTGCATGTTTCCATTCTCATTTGCTCGAATAATGGAACGACGTGTGAAATTAGTTACTGAGTTTTTCCCATCCTTATGTGCAATATATATTAGAACATGACATACTCGCCAAGAGTTTGAAGAGTTCCAAATTCTAATATATCCGCAAAAATATGCATGTAGAGTTTGCTGCTTTTTGTGGTACTTCGTTTATCTCTACAACATCCAACGAAAAATATGATTTGACTGCATTTCTTATAACAATATTGAGTAATGCTCACCTATCCTATCCACGGTGTGCACATATTAATATGTCCATCGTTTATATGGCATACACACATTGGTGGTGTATTTTTTTAAAGAGAAAAAACTTTTTCACCCCATAACAAAGACACGTTAAGTTTTTCACACCGCCCAATAAAAATCTAAGTTTTTCACTCCAGAAAGTGCGAAAGTTATGCGAAAACTGTCGTATATTCATCGCATAACTGTCCATATGCGAAGGTTATGCAAAAAACTGTCGCATAACTGTCGCATATCAATGGCATAACTGTCGCATATTCATCGCACAATGACTTCGCACAATTATGTAATTGATATGCGACAGTTATGCGAAAGTTTTTCACATAACTGTCGCATATTTATCGCACAATGCTTTTGCACAATTATGCAATTGATATGCGACAGTTATGCGACAGTTTTTCGCATATCCTTCGCATATGGACAGTTATGTGATGAATATGCGACAGTTTTCGCATAACCTTCGCACTTTCTCGGGTGAAAACCTTAGCTTTTTATTGGACGGTGTGAAAAACTTAACAAGACTTAAAAATGGGGTGAAAATAGATATTTTCACTTTTTTAAACATATTAACATCACCATTGTGTGCATGTCACATAAACGATGGACATATTAACATGTGCCCACCGTAAGTAGATGAACATTAGTCTAACAATATTTATATAAAGAAATCTTACAATCACAAATACTAGGACCATTCCGGCTGTGCTAGGTATACATATAAGAAATTGAATTACTAAATACTGTTCTTTTTATTCTATAGAATTATAGACTAGATACCGCCCTCCTCTTACTACATACTGTTCTTATAAAAGACATTTTTGCCCTTTATTTAGTATTAAAAAAAATTCACTTATCCATTACCCCCACCTTCAACAGAAAAAAAAAAAAAAAAAAAAAA